TTTCACTTCCCGGGGGCCTGGAACCTCCAGGCGATGGAAGTTCCCCGATCTCAGTGCTCTTGGGGGAATGTACGGGGAGAGGCGGTCCCTTAGGTAGGCCGGACCCTGGCCATTCAGGGCTTTAAAGGTAAGCACCAGCACTTTGAAACGAATCCGGTATGCTATAGGCAGCCAGTGCAGCGCATGCAGCACCGGTCGGATGTGGTCTCGCCTGGAGAGACCCATCAACAACCTCGCCGCAGCATTCTGCACTAGCTGCAGCTTCCGGATTTGCGACAAAGGCAGCCCCAAGTAGAGAGCGTTACAGTAGTCCAGCCTTGAGGTGACCGTCGCATGGATCACAGTGGCCAGGTCTTCCCGGCCGAGATAGGGAGCCAACTGCCTGGCCAGCCGTAGATGGTAAAAGGCTGACTTGGCAGTGGCAGCTACCTGGGCCTCCATCGACAAAGAGGAGTCCAGAAGCACACCCAAACTCCTAACCTCCCGCGCAGGCACCAATGGTGTCCCGCCAAAGGTCGGGAGAGGGTGTCCCAGCTCTCGGCCGATCCGACTCAGGCCCAGGACCTCCGTCTTTGCCGGGTTTAGTTTCAACCGACTCAGTCTGAGCCATCCAGCCACAGCTTGCAGTGCCCGCGAAAGGTCTTCAGGACTAGAGTCCGACCGGCCGTCCAACATCAGATAGAGCTGGGTGTCATCGGCATATTGATGACACCCAAGCCCACACCTCCGGGCAATCTGGGCGAGGGGGCGCATATAGATGTTGAATAACATTGGGGACAGCACCGGCCCCTGAGGTACTCCACATTCAAGGGAGCGCCTCTGGGACCGCTGCCCCCCTGTTGCCCCTATTGCCACCCTCTGTCCCCGACCTTGGAGAAAGGAGACGAGCCATTGAAGGGCAAGCCCCTGAATCCCCACGTCGGCGAACTTTAAGGGAAAGTTCAGGCTTCATTTGCTCTAGAATCCACTGGTTTGCCTTTCTGGCGGTTCACAGTATCCATAAAACTCTCCTCCAACACAGCATTTCAAATGGATCAATGTTCTTCCTGTCAGCTGTCTTCAGTGTCCAAGTATAAGAACATCAGAGAAGCCAGTGTTGGATCAGGCCAATGGCCCATCCAGTCCAACACTCTGTGTCACACAGTGGCCAGAAATACAAAGTGTCATCAGGAGGTCCACCAGTGGGGCCAGGACACTAGAAGCCCTCTA